AAACATCAGTGTGAGAGAGAGACATTGATCTGTTGCCTGTTGTATGCGCCCTGACTATGACCGAATCTACAACCCAGGCATGTGCCCCAACTGGGAATTGAACCGGTGACCCCTTTCGCTTTGCGGGATGATGCCCAACCAACTGAACCATACTGGGCAGAGCAGAACAACTTTCTTATTCTGTCATCACTCTGTTGACTCACAATAACTAGAAATTCAACTAAAATAATCTTAATTTAACTGTTATATTTAAGACCCTGTGATGTAGGAGAGTAGAAATATGACTAAGATTCTGGTTTTGTCCTTAAGGAACTTCGTATCCACAGTAGAGATCAGAAAAGTAACTTACTCTGCTTCTGGTAGGATCTGTGAATTAAAAAACATTAAAAGGAGAAGCATTTGCATTTGGTTGGAAGAGCAGGGAGAATCTATGAAGGCTTTAGAGATGTAGCATCTGAGAAGGTCCCAGAAAAATAATTGAATTTTGACAAGAACAGGAGAGGAGGGAGCTCACAATGGGTAGAAGGAATGTCGGAACAAAGGCATAGGGACAGAAAAACATGAGAGCTTTCAGGAAGCCCTCTGGTGGGTGGGTGTTGAGGAATGTGGTTGGAAGGCAGTGTTTTGTGGGCTAATAAAAATGGGTGGTTTATGTTGCAGCACACATTGACTGCTGCTGCAGGGAGTTTTGTCACTGCTTGGTAGACAGTAGAGAAGCTTTGAGGATTTAAATGGATAATTATAAGAACAGACCTGTACTTCAGGAAGATGAGTCTAGCGATATTGTGTAGTGTGGATGAAACTGGTGAAAATGATAGTATTGTGTAGTATGGTTGGGTAAGAAGATTAACAGTCTTGGGTGAGAAGTATCGAGGTCCTAAAAGGGATAGTGATGGTAGAAATAAGACATTTTATAAGTAGAAGCCATGGAATCTGGATGGATAGAGGAAGCAAGCTGTTTGACCTGTGTGGGAATGGGAGAGGGGTGAGAACATGGAAAGAAATAGAAGAGGAGGAAGAGCCGCTGCTGTTTGGGGGAGGTGGGGAGACGCCTTGACTTCGGCTGTGTCAGGTTGAACGAAATGCTGGCGGGATAGTGAGGCAGAGGAGCCAAACAGTACATTGAAAAGTATATGTATGGGGACATGAGATATTAAAGGTGTTAGTGTGTTGCTTCCCAGTTGCAAATGCATCATGCTGTACAACCAAAACCTAGCTCTGTTGTTTGCTTGCATGGCAGTCGGCAGCATTCAACATTTTGGTAGGCCATGGATCGAACACAAAAGAAAGTTTTGATTTTTCAATTGAAATATCTATAATATTCAGTAATTGTTGACATTTTGGCATACTTGTTTCTTCTGTCTTCCCCTAACAAATTCCTTAATATCATCTGATACCCAGTCTATGTTCAGACTTCTCTGAATATCTAAAGAATGTCTTTTTACAGACTTTCTTGGTTAAAAAAATTATTGCATTTGTTTGGTAACTAACATGAGTCTCTTTTATTATTACCCCCCTACCCCAATCATGCTATTTATGTGAAGAAACTGGGTGACTTGACCTGCACAGTTTTCCATATTCTGGGTTTGGCTGACCAATTGCATCTCTCAAGTGTCCTTTAAATTGTTTCTTGGCTCCATGTATGTCCTGTGAACTGGGAGTTAATCTGAAGCTTGAGCCTGTTCAGCATTTTTTTAAGGGTGTGGGATAAGAATACTTGAACGATGGCGCTGTGTTTCCTGTTGTGGCACATCAGGAGGCACAAGCTACCTAGGTGTACCACTTTTAGTAATGTTAAATTTGATTCAGATGTTGTCAGCCTAATCCATACACTGTAATAATCCCACATCTACGAACCTTTCATCTAAGACTGTTTTAGCGACTAATGGTGATTGTTGCAGAGAGCCTTTTAATCACTGGAGTTGGAAAATGGTGATACTCTAATTCTGTCATGTCTTCTGTGTTTATGATTGGCTGAAATTTTTCTGTAAAGAAGAACTTGCCCACATTGACTCTTTAGCTAGTCAGGAATGTAGTTTATACAGGATATACAAATTGGGTATGTGCTCAGTTCTTTTGTATTATTTGCTGATCTTCAGGATAATGAGTTTTTTAAAAACTATCATCATGAACTCATGAATTTATGTATTTGATGTCTTTCAATCTATTTGCTGTATGTATGTATGCATGTATGTATGTGTGTGTTTTTATATTTTCATTATCCTATCTTTGGCCAGTAGGAGCCCCTTTAAGTGGGCATTGTGTCCTTTTGCCATGAACAACGCAAGATAGAATGCAGTCATGTAAAATGATAGCAATGTTCTCAAACTGTGTTTGGGGCTATAAATGCTCCAGGAAATGCCAGTGATTCCTGGGATGTTTGGGTAGTCATTTTGGAAGAGGTAAGACTGGAGCTGGGCTATCAAAGAGAAGAGAAAATGAAAATTCATTTGACTTTTCATTTGAAAAAGAAAGTTGGAGTAATTGTCAGGAGGTGTGAAAGAACATGGGAGAGGAAAGGAGCTTGACTAGAACGAAGTCAAGAGTACCTTGCCTTTGGTCTTGATTTCGTAAGTACTGGGGAATGAGAGAAAGTTCTTCAGTTTGGAAGTGAAATTGAAAGGTATGCTTTGGAAAGGTTAGTATTGCAACAGGGTTAAGCAGTTGCATAAGGCACGGTTCTCAGCTGCAGATTTACAACAGAATCTTTGGGAAATTAAACAAATCAAGAACCCATACCTGGAGCCTATCTCAAAACTGTCCAGTACCAGGCTGGGGAGTATAGCCTCATTTGCTTTTCTTCTTTAAAAAATTAAATTTATTGGGGTGACAGTGGTTAATAACATCATATAAATTTTAGGTGTACAACTTTATAATACAACATTTATATGTTTTATTGTATGTTCATCATCCAAACTCTGGTCTCCTTCTATCACCACAAACCTTTCAAAAGGCCATCATGTGATTGTTTTATCAACCCGAATTAAAGCTAAAAGCTTAAAAATCAGTTGAGGTAGTAAGGACATAGATTGGGATAATGGCAGGGGGAATGAGAGGAAGGAAGAGATACGAAATGAGAATTTGTTTTTAAAGTTTTCCTATGGCATTTCATTAATAATGTTAACACTAATAAAAGGATTCAAGGAGAAGGAAACAAAGATAACTCTTCAAGATTTGTGGTATAGGGTCAGAGAAAAATAGGAGATTGGCAGAAATTGCTAGTTTGGGGACGAAAGTAATGGGGCATGTGGAGTGTTGAGATGATGGCTGTGTATCAGTGAACTCTAGGGGTTCTCTCTTCTCTGCATGCTTCATGCATGTTCTCCTGGCAAAGTGCTGGGCTCACCTAGGACTGCTGGTCCTGTGTATTGACTGGGAGGGTTAAAAACGCTAAGCTTTCATTTGATAAATGTGATCACAGTAAATGGTGGGTATATTTTTAGAAAGCACCATCCGTTTACTGGAAATAAAGTGGGAAAGGGTCTAGAAAAATATTGCACATATAAAGAAATCAATATCAATAAATATTGTCATCATTTGAAACAAAAACAAAGAAAATCACTAAACCAGGCAAAGGACTTGAACAGTTTTTACTATTGGGAAATATAATTTATTAATTCATTCTTTCAGTAAACATTTATTTACTCCGTTCTTTCATCAGGTATTGTTCTACATGCTGGCAAATAAGATCTCTGACCATTCTGGTCTGGTGGTGGTGTGAGGGAGACGGACAGTAGACATGTTTCAAAACACAAGAATTTCAAATAGTGGTAATGCTGTTGAGGAAATAAAGAGAGTAGCTTTTGGTTTTTTATTTATGCTTTATCTTGTGGAAGACATTTGCAGTTGTGCAACTGGAAGTTAGCATTCCTAATCTCTGCTTAATTATGTGGGAAATAATTGGTCCAAGTTCTTTTTTATTTTTAGGAAATATTTTTTTTTTTCTTAGATTGACGGTAAAGGAGGGAGAAAGAGAGGGAGAGAAACATTGATGTGTGGGAGAAATATCGATTGGTTGCCTCTTTGCGTGCCACCAACTGGGGACCTGGCCTGCAACCCAGGCTTATGTGCCCTGATCAGGAATTGAACTGGCCTTTTGGTTCACAGGCCAATGCTCAACCCACTGAGTCACACCAGCCAGAACAGGTTTAAGTTCTATTGGGGCTTTCCGATAATGGAACTTAAAAGTATTTTTCTTTTTCTTTTTTTTGGTTTGAAGATGTTTGTGTAATAATAGAGTACAGATTGAGATCTGCTTTTTCTTGTGGAAATTACTTATGTGGGTTCTTTTCATAGAATAGCGTTCGTTTTGTTCTGTTGGGAGGGAAACATCCTCTGAAAAATGTTCACATTTTTTCCCGTGGCTTCATTCAGTAGTAAAATGTAGTGATTTGATCCTGCGCTTCAGAGGATAGAACCTGGGTTTGGAATCTTCTCTGATTTTTTGTACAGGATGGTTGCTAGGGTCAAATGAGATACAGATGAAAGGGATCATCCAGGTTAAAGGGTTAAAGGAATCTCTGAATACTTAGAAGTTAAAGGAGCTAACTAGAACTCTTTGTCCTTTACTGTTTAAGAATATATTATATAACTGAATGTTTCAACATGTAGTTAAAATATAGAAAGTTCAGTGCACTTCTATAAAGTAAGTTGTTTTTGCAGATGTGAATTTACTTGTGTAAGGAGCTCTAACAAAAGCTTTGTATTTTTCATCTGTTACTGAATATTGATTTGGAAAAACAGAGGGCAAAATAAGATACCTGTTACTTGGGAGTTATATTTTTTATTACTACGTTTAGGGACTTTTTATGTATGGTAAAGAGGTAATGGAGTAAGAAAACAAATTTCGGTCAGAATTTTCTATTTTATAGATTTACAGGGAGGAAAAAATGAGATTTTTAGAAATGAAAGAAATAGTACTAAGATATAAGAGCTCTAATGCTCAAGTTAGCACAAGCTTTCTTTAATTCTGACTACTTTCTATGGATTTTTTTTTAAAGGAAACTTGAACATAAATTTAAAAGAAGACTGATTCTTTCTTTCTGGACTGCATATATATATAACAAGACCATCCATCAGAATGTCGGGAGCCTCAGTGAAGGTGGCTGTCCGTGTGCGGCCCTTCAACTCTCGAGAGACCAGCAAAGAGTCCAAGTGCATCATTCAGATGCAAGGCAACTCGACCAGTAAGTGCACGTTGTTTTCTCTCAGTCCCGCCTCCCTTGCCCATCCTTCCTCCTTCCCTTCCTGCTGTGATCAGAGTAAATGAATGTTTGGGCATTACTACGTTGAACTTTGCTCTTTTGAACGGCCCATTAAATGCTTCCCGACATGGTATTTTCTCTACCAAATTTAAATATGGTCTGTTTATTTTGTTCTTTACAATTGAGGAATCCCTGGAGAACTGAATTAGATAGTGTAATTAGGTTGAAACCTTAATGATAGTAGAGGTATAAGCAGTGATTTTTACCAGATGATGACATGAAATATACCTGTTAAGGTGCCAAGATTATTTTTCTTTTTTGATTTTAAATAGCACTTGAGCTTACCAAGATAGTCTTAAAACTCTTAACAATATTTCTTTGAGTTGAACAATAGATGTAGCTATAATATATGGCTATAGCTTTGTGAAAAAGCAGAAGAATTATAGATTCTTCAGACACAAGTTAATGGTGAATAGTTGAGGGAAACCGTGCTGATCTCACCTGTCTGTGGGCCATTTGACAGTGTTCTGTGTAGACGATTCTACCAGTGGGAAATAGAATTATATACAGGGCAGGACAAAAGTAGGTTTATAGTTGTTTGTATGGATAATAATAATTAAGAAATATGCAAGAATAAAATCTGTTTTGTGTACTCATAACTGTAAACCTACTTTTGCCCAACCCTATCTATTTAAGATATATAACATGATGTTTTGATACATGTGTACATTATGAAATGATCACCACAACCAAACTAAATATATGCGTCACTTCTCGTAGTTACCATTTCATGTGTATGTGGTGAGAACACTTGAGATCTACTATAGTCACCATGCTGCACATTGGGTCTTCAGAACCTATTCGTCTTACAACGGAAAGTTTATGTCCTTGGATCAGTATCTTCTCCTTCCCACCCCCCTTCCTCAGCTTTTGGTAACCACCATTCTATGTTACTATGAGGTGGACTTTTTTTTGTGATTTCTCATGTATAACTTTGAACTTACTGTTGCTTGTACACTTCCCTGAACTTGGTAAATAGGACTAGTAACGATCTATCTTTCAAAAAATATTTAAAAGTAGGGGTCTAAACTGGTGATACCATTGTTTGTAATTTACATTTGTTTGTCAGTTGTGCCAGTGATTCTGTGAATTATATCCTATCAATAATTGTAGAAGAAAAAAGAGATGTAAATTCAGTATTGAATTAAAAACTTTAATTTTTCCTTTTTATTGAATTTATTGGGGTGACACTAGTTAACACAATTATACAGGTGTCAGGCGCACAATTCTGTAATATAACATCTGTGCACTGTAGTGTGTGCTCACCACCCCAGGTCAAGTTTCTGTTCATCACCGTTTACCCCCCCAGACCCTCCTCCGCCTTCCCCCACTCCCCTGAATTGTACACTTTAAACAGGTGAACTTCGCGGTATGTAAATTGTGTTTCAGTAAAATTGTTTAAAAGGAAAGTCAATATTGATTATTAGCTCCTTTTTTAGAGTTTGAGCTAGGCTTAAAATTGAACTAGAAAACAAATGTTTGTGTTCTTAAATGTCACTCATTTAAGCTATGTTATTGTGCTTTATTTTAAGCCTTAAGTTTTACACTGTATTTAACTAACCTTTGCACAGGGGCCATACAAATCTTCTCTGTATTGTTCCAGTTTTAGTAAATGTGCTGCTGAAACGGGCGCACTGAATCCTGACTGTTGAACCGTTTATTTCTCTCTGAAAAAATACATTTAATTATAACATAGTTTGGAGGCATTTTTGGCTATTGGAATTGCCCCCAAATACAATGGTATATATCACAAATTTTTTTAAAAGGTGGACTTTAGGAAATTCTGGGTCAGGAGCTAGAATTGATATCAAAGATTTTATTAATTAATTTTTTTAGAGAATGGGGAAGGGAAGAAGAAAGAAAGGAAGAGAAAGAAACATCAATGTGAGAGAAATATCTATCAGTTGCTTCTCGCTGCAACACCCCACCCCCCTCACCCAGGGACCAAACCTGCAACCCGGGCCTGTGCCCTCCCTGACCAGGAATTGAAAAGATGACCTTTTGCTTTGTGGGATAATGCTCGAAGAGTTAGAATAGATTTTATAAAAAACTACTCTTCTCTGATATGTTTTGCATGTTGTACTATCCAGGAGAAATCTCCAGTGTCACAGAGTGGTTTTTCATGAATGGTTGGGGGTATCTGTTGCTCCTTTCCTTATAGGGTAGAAACTTTTAAGTAGAAAATGAGTATTAAAAGGCCATATCCATGAAATGTAAAAATCAGTTTACCATATAATAAAAATAGAAAATTTTGTTAGTGTTAAGTAATGATACTGTTTTTTCTTGATGACAAGTCATTTTAGACTGACGACATCTTCAGTTGGTTGAAAGGTTCTATTCATTGTCAGGGTCAAATAACATTATCTTAATTTCCCCCAATTGTGATTTATTTTGTGAATATGTAGTACATTCATTTACATAGTACAAAATTCAGTAGGTACAAAGTATATGGTACTTCCTCTCACCCCATCACATAGTCAGCCATTTTCCTCTCTCCAGAAACAACTTTGTGAGATTTCTTCCCAGAGGTAGTTAAGCAGCAACATCTTTTTCTAAGATTAGTGATACAGTGTAGTAGTAGCTTTATTTTTCAGCCTTGACTGCACTGAATGTTTTAAATACCTGAATAATACAATTCACATGGATAACTTGTAAAATTTGTTTCCTTTGAGATTTTAGCGTGAAATACTATCTATAATAAGTTAATGGGGTTTCTTTATTAGCAGGTGTCTGTGTGTGTGTAACGGTATGCTAGTGCCAAATATGCTATTAAAAAAAAGTAATCCATTGATTGTCTAAAAGAATTAAACTATAACTCTTAAGAGTATGTAGTAAAATTAAAACATTTTCTTTAGTTCTGGATAGTTATAAGAAATGGGTATGAGTTTAGGTCTGCTTGACTTTCTGATTTTGCTATTTAATCAGATGGATTAAAATTCATTAAGAGATTATTGATGGCTAGTAAAGAAGGTGTTAAAATCTCACTGCTTTTAAGATACATAGCTTTTTGATCCTATTTTCATTGTATTTAAAATAATGTCACTTCGAAGGGAAAAGTAAAATTGCCCAAATAATGATACTCACTCTGGATGAAGGATTTAAGACGATTTCACTTATGGTAGATAGCAAATTGAAGAAGAAAATAAGATTCCTAGTTGAATACCTTTTTATGACGGGGCCATAAAATTTAGAATTTGTGAGGATATAAGTTTTATTCAGCCGTTCTTACATCCCACCAAAAATCTGCAGAACTACTGAAAATATTGAAATGTCTTTTGATAAAATATTGAAGAAGAAATGCCTGGTTTTTATTAAAAGTAATAATAATTGAGTGATTAATTAGGCCTGGATATATTGTACTAGTCCTATGAGGACTCATCTGTGGGCCGCCTTAAGCACAGCACTGAACCACCAGTTGCTTTTCCATCACGTTTATTCCAAAACTTTTCTGTGCCAAAGGCTGATTGGCCGTGCTCTGCCTTGTCCTCTCTGCCTGGCCCTTTCTGAATTTCTTTCCTTCCTCTTTTGAGAGTCTACTGTAATGTGTTCTATAGGGGTTACAGAGTTGTATGTACATAAACCCTGCCCTTAGGGAGTTACCAGTTTGTGGTAGGAGAGACAAGGCATACTGAAATAACCTCAGTACAGTGTAAAAGTGATCAAAGTGATACTTGCCATTGAACAAGGTTTTTAAAAAGTGCAGATGTGAGTTTGGCAAAGGGCACACGTAACATTCATTGACGATAGGGTATTTCTGATAGAATTTAAACTAAACATCCAGTACATTTGGGGAAAATTTCAGAATTGGAGCTTATTAGAACTTACTAGTGTTACGACTGGATATTGGTACTCCTGACCCTCATCTGGCTCCAACAGTTTGCCTCTTGCACCTAAATGTTCAGCAAGAGAAACTTGACTTTTAAATTTGCATTAGTCTACTGAAACAAAAATCCTCATTAGTTGAATCAGCCTTGGGAAAAGTAGGGCCAGTTTTCTAGCTAAATACTTATTTTGTCATGCCTCAGAGGGCTTAGGGTAATTTTGGTTCCTTTGAAAGGCATTTGTTCTTGGAAAGGCAGTTATCTACTTGTATCAGAGACTTTTTCCTGTAGGATTTTTGGCATTTTCATTTTTTTCTACTCTTTTCCATCTCTTTTTAAATTTTATATGGCAGTTTATTAGTAATTTGACTAATATGTAATCCAAATAATTTTTAAGTGAGATAGTTTAAGTGAGCCACTTGCTATGTTTAGAAAGTATTATTGGTTTATTTTGCCTTTTTTAAAAAACCCCAAAACAATGGACTTAAGATTGACAGACAACATGCATTTTAAACCCCAAATTGTTGGGGAAAAAATGAGATAAATCTGCTATAGCCACAGGTGTTCACTGTATTAAAAGACTTCTGTGGGGACAAGCTGGCCTGGACTGCTGCTCGGAGGGATTATAGCTGATTGCAGATGGAATGCAATGGACTGTTCCTGCCATAAGATCTCTTGAAAAAGTACAAGAGGGTGAAAGATACTTTAGGGAATGTGCCAGATCCGAAAACTGAGTCGTAGCAGTTTTATTTAAGCACTTTCTGGTCTCAGAGGAAATATTTTCCATGGCACAGATAAATGTTACTGCCTTGACATTTCTGAGACCCAAGTGCACACACAAATGGCTTTGTTTAATAATATCCCATAATATTCCAAGTTTCTCCCACTTGGGAATAATTTTTTATTGTCTTGTTACCTCCTTACCTCAGCCTTCTACTCAGTTTTGATGAATTTTTGTTGTTTCTATTTGGTTAAGTGGTTAGTTTTTTGTTTTCTAGTCTTTTCTTGTCAGTCTTTATTTTTTTTCTTCTGTTATTAGTATTACCTAATTCTCACTTGCATTTTAGTTTGGATTTCTTTTTCTAGGGTCTATGTATAGAC